GCCCTTCTGAAAACTGCACGTGTCTCGTCAGGCATCGGAGTGCAATCATCTTGGTCTTATAGTTGGCGAAGCTTCGCTGGGCTTTGCGAATGCTCTTCCCAACTTCTGCAGCTTCTGCCATGACTGCTGCACTTTTCTCTTTGAAGTCTTCTTTTATCGCTTCTCTACAGCGTTTCGCATGTTCGGACGTAAGGTTTCGGTTGCCTTTAGCTCGCGCGACTCCACATACACATATCAGCTTAAAAGTCTGCGGAGAGAAGCTTCTCATCGTGCTTTAGGACTCTCAACTTTTACAGCGCTAACGTGACGACATTCAGCGAGCCGCTCGTGTTCTTCGCCGATGTTGCCGACAACGGTATCTTCCCGAGAGCCGACTAATGATTTCGATACCCATTTCGTGGTAGTTCTAAGACTTCGTTATCTGACAATAGCTTCCTCCTCTCCTTTCCGCTAAAAACGCAACGTTGCACGATGGAGACGATGGTTTAATCGCGCGTAAGACTTCGGACAGCAGCGACATCGATCAGGCAAAACCTTCGTTTCAGTGAGATGTGGTCTATTTTGTATGGCACTCTCCATTAGGAGAATCCCACGTCCATCGTTCGGAGTGTGGCTTTTGGAATTGTGAGCTACCGTGGATGGTTTGGGTAGTCATGATAAGCTTAGATAGCTTCTCACTCTGTTTATTCCGTTGTAGTGTGTTGGTACCAATGTAACGTTCTTCTAGGTCCAGTTTTCGCGCTAAAATATCCAACAATGGCCTTGAAGAACGTATGGTCTTCTCTGAAAAATTTTTCAAAATCCGTATAAAACGCTTCGACTTTCTCTTCGTCATAGACGGTTTTGGTGCGTAAGCAGCGGAGATGCTCAAAACCGGCATGGAACTACATCGTTTCAATCGTAATTGTCCAATATTTGTTGTTAGTTGTTCAAATGAATGGATGTTCAAGATCAACATCGATTTGACAAGGTGCCAACGCCGCCGATATCTCTGCGATCGCACGTTCCAAGAAACAGTTTTTCTCAGAATCATAAACAGCGTGAGAAGGATGGCGTCTTCTCGTTTCAGTCAGGCCGATTACGCCTTATCTTATCCTTCTTGCTTGAATCAATAAATCTCCCACAGCGGATTCGTCAGCAAGTGTCCTTGCATTGTAGGTACAGATTGTCATTTTAGTCCGTTTTTATTTTGGCAGCCTAGTTTGGCGCTGAGTTAGCAGCCTCTCCATATTCGTCCTACCTGGGGCTGCCGTACCAGGGGTTCTTCCGGAGTCACGAGAATAAAGCCCATGTTTGTTACTGTTTTTAGCATTCTAATGCCCAACGTATAGTCTGCTATTCTCTAAACGTGGAGGTTGAGCACTCACGAGTGGCTTCCCAGTCTCTCTTGAAGGAGAGGTGGAAGCTCATTTGTTAGAGCCAACTCCTAATTACCTCTCACGTGGTTCCCAGCAACTTGATTGCAGGCTTTTAGCCCATTTGACTCGTAGAAATAGAGTTCTGTCAAATCGGCGCTGCAGGAGCAAGGAGCCCATTCCCTGAATACGCCTGTGTCTCTGGAAAGCGCACGGTCGCTTTTGGTTTGCGTTTATTCTCCTATCCACCACCTGAGGACGCGCCACGTGCCCTCGCCACTAACCTTCGGGATCCCTCAAAAGGGAAGATCTGTGGACATCTTTCATAGCACTTTATATGAAACGCTCAAAATTATCTATCAATCTTTTCAGATATTTCAGCAGTAAAATCATGCTGTATGAACGAAAGAATCCATTCAACTCGAAGAATAATCATGCTTATTAGATTAAAAATTATAAAAGTAAACAAAAAAGTTTATAACAGATATTCTAAAATCAATCCTTTGGCTTGTATGAACTTACGAACTCGCTTGCGAGATTTTTGAACTATGTACCACTTTTTCCACCGCAATTCCGTTCCAAGCTTGTCTTAAAACCGTTTTAAGCGCGCCTACTCCAGGCGGCAAGTGCCGAGAATTTCTCCTTCAGTACGGACCATGTGGAATTATTCATTGGGCTGAGATCCAGCGAGCTTGACGTTAAAATATCCTTTCCCCAAAACCCTGAACACTTCTCTTAAGAGATGGCTAACGCTAAGCAGGTGGAGTGCCCAAGAGCTCAGGTCTGCTAAGGCATAAATCCGCTCGCGCCAATGTGTTGAGTCGCTCGAGGCTCCAATGCACCCAGCAGAATTTACTGCTGATAGCTGATTTTGGCTTTTCTATTGATGAAGGCCATCGCCGTCTCGCGGCAGCACAGATGCTGTATCAGACCATCGTAGAAGCCGAAAAAACTAATGCTCATGATTTTTGCTAATGCTGACTTTTGGTGGCCATTCTTGAGAGTTCACTTTCATTCTAGCATTTATGGTGTGATTTGATAGTGAATTACTTCTTATCCGTGTAAAGCGCCTTCGATAAACGACCGTCAAGCGAATCATTCGGCGAGCCCTTAAAAGTCGCTTCTCTTCCATCTTTATATCCAGAAAGTGAACGCGAGCAATTTTGTAACTGCGCAGGTTCAAGTTATTTTTGACATTTGCACGAGTCACTGACCGGTACTTTGCTTAGCGACTTATTTCGCGTATCGAACTTTGTACTGGGCAACACATTCTTTCAATATTCTTCGGACTTGACACAAAGGTTGGATGACATTTTCAAGAACGACCCACGTTCCCTCCCGTTTCTTCTTTGTAGACTCTTGGTGGTCTGCAACCAGTCTATTTTGACGATGTCGGCCGTTTTCATTCCCGTCATGGGTAACTCAACTACTGCCATAAGTTAGCTTTTGCGAATCATGATTTGAGTACACCGAAAAATAAGCGAATAAATAAAGCAGATCCTAGGCCAAAAATAAGCATGAAACTCATTATTTTTACTCAATAAAAATATTATATTAATGCTAATTGCAAGTCGTCAGAACTTTCTGCGCACCCTGTTTACAACTCCCTTCGGCTATCTAGGCTCTGGTACAGACTTAGTATTCTAAAACAAACCTCCTCATCTTTTTAATACCGAAGAAAATATTATGTAAGATCGCTCGCACAGTCTTTTCCCAGGTTTCCAATGAGAAACAATCACACTAGGCTTTAAGGGCAGTCGTGACGTCATATAATCCTACGCAACAGTCTCACCCAGTATACCGATTATGCAATAAGGCCGAATACGAAGACGAGTAGGAAATCGAATAACCGAAGAAGCAAGGTAAGATTGGAGACAATACATGATGAATGCGTGTAAATTAAGTGAGTGCAAATAATGCTGTGATTCGCATAGTATGATGCATGTGCTGATGGGTCATATAGTAATCAAGAGAAATTCTCGTTCCGCCACAGAGGAAAAATAATCGGAGAAAAGTATAAATCTGACCCGAAATACTGGCATTCCGCTCCTAAACTGTTTATCTATCTTCGATGGCAAGAAATGTTCGTTCACAACGGCAAAATTCAGTAGGAAAACACGTAACTTTGCACCATTACATTCACGAGGTCCCTCATCTTGTGTGAAGCTCAAAACTTCATATTCTTGGTCACGTCTTACTCTGTTATCGTCAACATGGCGCGAGTCATAAAATTAGTGGTTTGCTTATATGCTTGTTCTAGCACTTAGTGGAAAAGGCTAATCATCCTGAAGATAGTGGAAATTTTTTAAGAAATCGGCTCTAGCTCAGTTATCTGTATTTTTTCTTATTAACTTGCATGATGAACACGAATGGTAAAGGGTGATTTTGCTCAGATTTGCGGCTAAACCACGTTTTACTTTCTAACTCTTCTTCATAAGCAATTGCCGGGCTTTTTTATCAGACCGAAGCCTTTTAGGCTCAATTTTCTGTGAGGATTACAATTTGCAATCTGCCGATATTGGAACTGACAGCTGATAGAGCGACTGTGGAAGATGCAACATTGTTTATCTACTTTATTTGATGGAACACAATCATAACAAATCTGCTAAAGGATGGAGCTTGATGAGAAGTTCACTAAAGAGACTTTCCTAAACCATCTTGAAGGTATGTAGATATGTTAACAGATTGACTTTCATTTTGAGGCTTCTTAGAAGGCTAGAATCTCAAAATGTCGAAAATCTGACTCGTGTTTTGGAAATCGGAAAGAATTAGCCACAATCGCTTAGCAGTCTGTGTGAAAATCTTGAGCTTGTTGTTTTGTGACCATAAATATATCTGTAGTTAGAAAACATTGATAGCCAACGGCTCATCCAAAAATAAGAACTTTCATATCGTGTCTCTTAAAGATACTCTCATTACCTTGGCAAAAACATTTTCTGTTAATACCATTATACCCCTGAGCGCATGTGGCGCAGTGGTTAGAGTGCCCTGCGTTGCACACGAGGTCACTGGTTGGATCTCGCGCTCATGGCTCACCAAGCCATCCATACCTCCAGGGTCGGTAAATTGGTACCAGACAGGTCTCAGACTTGTCTGGGAGGATGAGCAGCACTGACTAGGTTCAGCGGGAGGCCACCGCGAGTCATTGTAAAGGCCAGATGTGCATTCAATCACCTCAAACGAAGTTAAAAATTGAAGTCGAATGCATGGCGCATCCCTCAGGGATTGATCAACGCCGAGAGCTTTATCCTTTTTATTTTCACCATTATATCCCTGTTATGTCGATTTTACAGTTTTTCCTAGGCTGTTTACTGTCATTAAGTGTTTTACGAAATATCATCACTTGCGAATTTTATCGGAAGTAATACTCCACATTTCTGGTTTTGTACTGCATTCTTTGCAGTTTTATGATTTTTCATATACACCCAAAAGAATTGAGTGGTGAGGAAAATACGACCTTGGACGGAAGTTGAACCTTCGTTTTATCCATACAGGGAACGCGCGCCCATCACTCATTCCTTAATATCTCAATGATAGCTGTATCGAAATCGATATGTAGGAAATCGCATACCGACCAAACCTGTTTGAGGTAGGTGGCTGACAGCTATCATAGAGATATTTAAGAACGAGTGGTGGCGTGAATATAGCTCGGTGGTGTAATGGTAGCACACGTTCCCGGTATGGATAAAACGCAGGTTTGACTCCCGTCTGAGGCGTGTTTTGCTCACCACTCAATTCACTGAGGTGTATGGAAGCCTCGAACCAATTGTAGCCATGCTTCGGCACTTCTGAATTCTCCACTCAGTAAGTTATCCTTTACCGCCTCCGGCTCAGCAGTTCCGCCCTTACGGAGCGAACGTTATGGCTGTCATCGAGCGTTGTCGATTGATCTCCTTTGTCCCACCAGTAGCGTCTTACACCACCGAGCCGCATCTTTCTGGAATAAGGGCGGCCCCACCGCTGCCACAACCAGCCACTAAGGTATTTAAGTAATTTCTTTTTTTACTCTATAGTTTGCTTTATCTTTTCATTTGGGCTGATTCTCTGTGATGGAATGTATTAAGAAGCGTTATGCCTCTAAGTACTTGAGATCATCGTTGCCTTGAACAGCCAAGTAATGAGTATCGTAAAGCAAAGAGCAGCTGATAGCTGGCACATTAATCCCTTCGAGTGCTTTTATTTTGATTTGATATATGTAACTATATACTTACTTTTCTAGGAAGCAGTCACAAATTAGTTGCCATAATTGAGGCAAAGAACGAAGCATTTTATTAAAATATCTTTCATTTGTCCGACTTGTCACGTCAAATCAGTAAGCTGATCGATAGCAATCAGAGAGTCCATAGTCTTATGTTTGTATTTGCATGATACTGATTATTGAGCTTCAAATGCTTTAGTGACCTAGGCGACCACTATCTATAAAAGTAACTCGATATCCTTTTGTGGAACAATATTCGTTACATCCTGTTATTGGGTATCATTTTGAACATTTTACGAACAAGGCATGTTCAATAACGTGGAGTGCTGTGCACAAGTATTCGTCAGCCGGAAATCGACGCATCGGTGGCGCAACGCTTAGCATACGCTCCCGGAAAGAGTGATATCTGGGTTCGAATCCCAGCTGACGCAAATGTTTTTGCACAGCACTCCACGTTATTGGGTATATTGTAGCATCATACCACCGCAAGTGGCGGTCAAATAAAATCATTTCTGAATGCATGTCCAGTTTTTTCAAGATATTTAGTATTTACTGGATAGCATAAATCACGAAAATATCGATATTCTCCGAAAAGGCCTTTCTAGTGTACTGTAGAATTGAAAATATAAATAAGATTCACACTCGGCTCGTTTCTAAGCGTATTTCTTTTACTAAGACTTCTCATATGTTTTAGACTATTAGTAATCAATCGATGTCATAAGTTCTATTGATTCCAACATTCTGTCTTTTTTTTTCTGAATATACCGCTTCACCAGGAAAATCGGTCGAGTCTTACATTTTCGGCGACCTTGTCTATTGGCCAGTCGATGTGGTCTGGAGGTGAACAGAGGAGGGACGGGCGATCGATCGCGTGCGAATTATTGTCGTTCAATTGAGGATTTTTCTCTATCGCCAGAAACTTCAGATGAAAACGCATAATTCGGATAGTACGGAAAATTCTCTACACGCTGACATGCTTTTCCTGCATGCAGCAAATTATACGCGTATAGAAATGAAGGCGCACGGTGGAGATAAAGCACAGTTTTTTTTTCTGGATGCTACATCGTTGTGAAGGAGTGTTTCGAAAACAATAGCGGAGTGGGGCTGTAGACTTTTGTCTCAGTTTCGAATGATTGCTAAAACTTCTATGAAAAGCTCCTCTCCAGCGAATGAGATCGGTTTTTCATTTGTCCCCTTGAAATCAGAAGAAACCGTCAAGAATGTGCGGCTGATGATCCAGCCATATAGTCAAAAGTGGATTTTCGTTAATTGCTTTGCTAATAGCCTCTCGACCAACTTCACGTGGGCGACCGGAGCGCAGCTGGTCCTTCAAGTTGGTGCTGCCTACGCTAAACTCAGCAGAGAACCGAGACGCTGTTCTCTAGACATAAATTCTTGGTCCTCTACAGGGTTGATGTTCTCGAAGGTGCTATGTGCATCGCGTCCCAATTCGTACTCCTAAAGCAACAACTTGCTCGGAGAGCTTCGTTGAGAGGCCGTAGTGAGTCAACTATGAACAAATTCGGTACCAGAATAAAGCTCAGAAATTTCAGCACGAAGCGGTATTGATTTGTCGCTTGAGATGGCAGAAACGTTTTCACGTTAATGGAGACACTTTGAAAAGTGCTGTCAAGCAATTTTGATTAATTCTGATTAGTCGACGCTTCGTAGAAACTATTAGGTTTTTTTTATAGATGTAGAAGAAACTTTGTTCTACCGCCCCATAAGCTGTGATTTTACATGCTCATTTTATTTTGCTAAATAAGTCCATCGATAAACCTATGTCTAAGCAGCATAAGCCTAGGTACGAGAGGCGTATGACTGCGTGAAAATTTTGAACGATAAGAGTCATGTATTTAATCTGAATGGACTCTAGTCATTGAATTTCTGGCTGCAAATGGAGATATACAGGAGGGCATATTTACATGGCTCACTGATATTGTCGCCGACATCCTTAGAGCTGGAGCCACAATTTACATGTATTTCCCCCAAGTTAAACAAGACAAACGCGGACGGAGTGCAAAATCGATCATCTTCTTGTTGCTACAGAGCATTGAGGAATCTCTATCAAAACCAACCACACTATTGAAATCGTCGAGATGCAAACTAGCTGATGATTACTAAAGATCTAAAAAAGCTTTATTTAGCGGAAAGTGCTCGAGTGTAAATTATAATTCCATTTTCACTGTTACAGCGCATCAAAAGGGTTATTTAGAAAAATATGATGTCGACTTTTTTTTTGCGATTTTGGGTGTCGAATGAATATCGACGCCCTGAAACTAAGCAGAAAACGCATTTCTCCAGGAGGCTAAATCACGATGAGCATAAAGGAAATGATCCAAGAATTCACATCTAAAGAAGGCAATAAAGTTACTGGAAACAGCTCAAAAGCGATGCAGTTTGAGAAATGCCGTCGGGATCTTCGTAACTGTTAAGCTCGTGTGTAAACCCCGATGAACCAAGATAGGACTACGGCGACGTTTTGTCCTTATCTATAATTAAGTGAGGGGACAAGTTTCGATAATCTTTTTATTTCAAAACCACCACCCTCCCAAACAATTATGGGAGAATACCCGCTGGAAATCCTTACCCTTGAAAGACCGATGACATCGTAACTCTGAGAGAAAATTCTTAGATCAAAGAAAATTGTCGCGCACAATCATGCTGTAGGAGGACCGCAGTGATCATCGTAGCTAATATGGCCGTTGGTTGTGATCTTTACGCTTTTTATGAAGGTTAGTCTTTCACTATAAATAAGAAATCTTGATAAGGCACATCCACTTGAGCAGGCAGAATTTCGATAAGAATTTTATTGAATAGATCATACTTAAATCGCATGTAAGGTTGCAGAATTGTATCAACATTGTCACTTGCTTGTAGTCCTTACTTATGTCTACAAAACAAGTGTTTAACAAAGTCAAAACATATGCAATCCTATTGGCACTCGTCTGCCAAAAAAGTGGGACCGTTTGCTAAAAGGACTCTATGGGACTGTTATCGGAACTGCACTCCAAAAACATGACTTTTTATCTGCTACTTACCAATATTTATAGTAGGAGGGTTTAACCATATCAACATAGCTGTTCAATGCCACTGAAATGGATAATGAATTTGCTTAATGAAAACCACAAAGACATTCTGATGAGAAGCTCATATATAACGTCCTCTTCGTAGATGGCATCGTTGTCTTCACGGGATTATCATCAAGGCATACGGTGCTCAGTGAGCTCAACAAAGATGATCGGATTGCGCATGTGCTGGGCGAAGTTTAAGTTCACCAAAACTTAATAAGCGGAGATGAACAAATTGAAGTAGACGGTCTTGGGTTACGGAAACCAATTTGTAAATGCACCTTGGACACTGAGTGAACATATTATCGAGAAAGAGGAATTGAACTGAACAACTAGTGCAGCTTGAGACTAATTTGAATCTTGAAAACCAAGTGCATGATTGAGATCTTCGAGGCGTAAGCTATCAAATGCTTGCTAGATTTTTTTTTTTTTTGGAAGAACTCTGCCAAGCGAAAAATGCGCCGAATCGCGCTGACCATGAAATCTAATATTATATCACTGTCACAGATTTGAAAAGGCCACTTTGTGATTAAAGTACAGAATTGAAATTATCGAGATCTGAACTACTGAATTGCTGAATAAACTCTGAAAAAGTAGAGGATGCTTTGTTTTCAGAAGGTTGAAAATAATAGTCAATATAGAAAAAGTACCCAGTATTGTTTTTTTTGTTGATGAGCCAACTGGAAATTCTCATAAATACTAGTTATGACTAACGCATGGACGAATTTGCTGTTATCTGGCACCGATGATTCAAATCGGGTGTCTACATCATTTGCTCTTCACTGCAGTGTTGATTTCCGTAATCATCTAGATGAATGGCTGATGCGGACCACCGCATCAATAAAGTAGCGTCTCTCAGCTTTGTCTTTTCATAGCAGACTATAAGTAAACAGACATCAGTAAGGTTATTCTATTAAAAATAACGTAATTGCTCCATTCATAACCTTCACTTTCAGAGGAAAAAACCAAGTATTCATGAAAAGACTATGTTTAAAAGCCCTATCGAACATTTCTACGATAGTTTATTTATGTTTGCCTAAAATTCAATCAAATTTATCTTCTATTCTTCTACCTTCCCATGCACTTTACTACTTCGAGTACATAAAATTAATTCTAGTGGCTGATATTTGGAAAACAATGAGTAGTTCGTCAAAAATAGCGCTGCTTGTTGCATGCGATCTCACTTCATCGATAATTCTTGTGATTGCTAATGCAGAACAGACTTCCATTTCTCAGATTAATGCATAATTCCGTTCGAATTCTCTATTAATAGCTACGGTATGCAGAGAAGAGATGGAGATATAGCGATTTTTTCTCATTCTCTCCATCCTGTTTGAACCCTTTGGTAGATACGTATAAAACGCTTTAGTAGTCATTCGCTAGCTAAATCAAATGAATTTAAACGGTGTTTCTTATTCGTTGTCAATCCCGACACCACTAGAGCTCA